AAAAAAAAAAGGAAATTAAAAACCACCAAACCCAAAGGGAAAGAAATTTATAACGATAAGGTATTGAAAAGGACCCATCAGAATTACACATAATATTCATCGATAAAACCACTTTCTAGATATGTATTGCAAATTATATTTTACCGGACGTCATATGACCCCTTCCAGTATTTGGTTTCCCTATTTGCTCGTTTTGGATCATAATGCCATGACTTTTATGACCTCGATACATTCTAATAGGAGATCAGAACTTCCTAAGAAGTTTTGTAAGTTGACAACAGAAAATGGGGAACGAAGTCCTGTATAAAGGCGTATATGAAAACTCTTAAAATTATCCATAATCTAGATTCTAATAAATACAAGAAAGAATAGCCTGTAAGCACCAAAACAAAGGGCACAACGAACCAAAACTACTCTCAAGCTGAAAATTTGAGTTATCAATCCTCATAAAAGCCTCCGTATTCATTCTCTCCAAATAGCCCACATCACACAATATTTTGCTACAGTCTAAGTTCGTCTAGCGACCTTTGAACTGTCCCTAAGACTCCGACCTTCCAACAGACAACACACTGTCTGAGGTATTGACCAGCCACTCCAAAAAGATTCAGTAATATAAAAATAGACTCCACAGAAAAGATGCCTTTTCCAAACCACCTTCCAGGAAAAAGGATTAATTGTCTCTTGAGAAGCAACATAAATAAAGACTTAACAGAAAAGATGCATCCCCTTTCTTTCATGTCTGCATAACTCCGATGAATATACAACATGGGCAATAAAACATGGGAATGGTGTCCACATCCCAACCCCATTAAGCCCTTCAGAATCAGACATTTGACCCTGTAGATCCAGCCGACACCTGATACTTTGACCATCCCCATTTGTAAAACCAATGAACTTGGAAAAATCAGCTACTATGTTTATACCCCATAAACCATAATAATAAGGTTCAGTGCATGCTCTAGTATTCAATTCTCTCTACTCCCTATCACATTTATATCCGATAATCCTTCTTCATAGTTTATTGGAAAATCTAGTAACAGTTTCCACAGGAAAGCTTGACCTAGGGCTAGGCAAAACTCTCAAACCGAACCGAACCAGACAATTCTTCTCAAGTTAAATACCCGAATGGGTATCTAAATCGAGAACCGACGGGTACGGTTCGGTTCTCGATTTTAGACCAAGAATTGAATAAGAATCGAATCATCCTAATTTTTTTCTTATATTGAATAAATCAAATTATTTTAATTTTTTCTAAACAAATTAACTAATTAGGTGATTAATTGATACTCCATATTCCAAGCCCTAGCCTAGCTAGCTTGACCCAACTCAACCAATTTCTAAATCAAATTTTTTGGTCCAATTATTTGTTTCATTTCTAATTTTTTAGTATTAGTATCTACTTTTTGGTATGAATTGCCATTATTTTAGTATTAGTATCTACTTTTTGATATTTGTATATGTTGGTAAATTAATCTTATTAGACAACTTGTTATTTATATGTTTTTGAATTGGACTTCGTTAATTTGTAAAAGCTATGATTGAATATGTTATTAGTTATATTTATGTAGTGTTGTTGTAAATGTTAAAAAATGTAATTATGGTACTAAACCAAGCCGAACCGGACCAAATTGAACCCGAATGGTTCTATAATTATATTTGGACTCGACGGTTTCCCTTACTAAATACCCGAAATTTTTTATTTGGTTCAGTTCTAAAGAGAACCAAACCGAATTGGACTGTGCCCAGCCCTAGCTTGACCAGAAGTGCCAAGATACCTTATTCTGAAATCTCCAAATTTAAATTTCTCCGGGTCAACATCCCATTCCTCTAAATGATACTTTCTTAAACCTCCCAAAAGAGGTCCCTCAGAAGCCTCTCCAGTCTCTTGGTAACAGAGACAAGAACATTGTATAAGGACATGGAAAAAGATGGGGAGGCTGGTAGCTTACTCTTGAGTAAATTCAATAACCTTCCTTTGACAATTAAAACTTTTTCAGCTAGCCAACTGGTCCCCTAAATTCTCCACAATAGGATTCCACACATCAACAAACTTGAAATAAGATTCCAAAGGCTAGCCAATTAAGTGATCAGTACTTATCCCACTTTACATCATAGAATATCTACCAACTCATTAAATTTGGCACTTTCCATAGGGAATGCTAAATTCATATAACTTCAGGTCTCAAACCACACGACACATTCCATAGACCACAATTGACTCTAATCACCATAAAGCACAATGACATCATCAATGAACTGAAGATGGCCAACAAACACATTCAACCTGATCAGAACCTATGAAGCCCAGAAATTGACATGGGCCACGGAGAGGCTAACACTTGAAAAAAAGGACAAAGAAAGTCAATTAGAATTCTTTAATTTTAGTTTTAGTTTTTCAATAACATCAATACCATTTTTAGCTCTGATTTCGAAACTTGCATGTAAAACCTTTTGAATCAAGGATTGTCCAATACTACTTACGTTAGATAGATATAACACAAAAATTCAATATGAAGTCCGTAGATTTAAACTAATTTGACATTTTTAACACATTTCTTTTGAAATAATTAAATACTTCATAATTTTAAGTCAAAAAATTTACACAAATTTGTGAATTCGCGTTGTTAAAAATTTTTAAAAATATAAAAACAATATATGCTGACATCAACAATCCACCTTAAGAATATCCATACTTCATATATCAACAAGGGCTGAAACCCCTAATTAAGAATCCTATGCTTAACCTTTTTCATTAGCTTGTAAATGCTTATATGCCCATCAACAATAAGAGGGAAGATAAGTGAGCTCCTCATACAATGCCCCTTGAATTTCTATAAAAGCCGCAAGAGGTCCATTCAACAAAAATGGAGAATTCGACGATAAACTAGCAGAGAAAGATAAAATGTCTTCATTTAGCTCCAAAACACCCACACACTCCTCGAGTCAACATGGTCATAACTCAAACTTCTCAGAATCAAGTTCAGAGAGAGCAATTTGTATCACTCTTTGAATGTATAATCCAAAAATTCATTAGTAGTAACTTTATATCCAAAATCTGCCTGCCCCTCACAAAGGCATCCTAAGAAAAAGTAAGAATGCGATCAACACTTGTTTTCATTCCAAGAGCTAGATCTTTTTGCAATAACTTCAGCACCATCAGTCAAGCTGATTGCTATAGTCTCTGACTTCATATCCCTTTTTGTCTTCGGCAACAAAGCCACAAAGGAATAATTTAAACTCTTTTCAAAACAACCTTTGTCCCCTTTGATACTTTTTATACCCGCTACCTCACAGCAATGACAGAAAAAGGCTAATGTGAAGCCATCAAGTCCAGGAGATCAGGCCAATGTGACTACAACCTAAACCATTCCCTTTATTGGGTGAATCAAGTTGAGCATTTCAAATTTAAGCAGCATTCAGCATTTCTTTTTTAGTCCCAGTTCTCGAAACAATCCAGGTTGTAGGTAACTTTGTCTTGATCCCATAAATTTTTTCATTGATGGTAATAACTAAACTTGAAGTGAAATTGAATTGTCTATCCATAGTGAAGCGAGGCTTATCAAACATCCAGTGCACATTTTTCAGATGGACACTGGCACAGAAGAGTATTCTATAGTTTAGTGCCAGTTTTTCCTGCTTTTGAGCGTAATGCAGTGCATACTGACAGGGGCATAGAAGTTTATGTCTTGGTTGCCATGACATAGAGAAAATAGGTATGTGGTACTGATGGGATCATCTTGGGTACTCTATAGATAAGTAACTCAAATAGACTCTTGGAAGACGCTTGCTAGCTATCAAGATCATGGATATTGAAAGTCTAGTCTCATCTAAATTTTAAGCCGAAAATGACAACTCTTGATGCACTAACCCGGCTATATGCAAACTGGACCTCTTAAATAGTCTGAACTTTCACTCAATACACATTGGACCTCTTAAGCAGTCTCAACTTTCACTCAGTACCAGATTTTATTACAAACTTTTTCATCCCAACTCTACTTTATCCTTCAATATGTGAAACAGGTGGGGGTCGCAAATCTACTCTAATGATTCTGAAGATATGGCAAAACAGATTTCCCATGTGAATAACAGTCTCCAGAATCAAAGTACCTCTACTTTTCTTGAATATCCACAAACGACAGCACATTATTTTCAGATTAGCTTCGTTCCATATGTCTTGATTAATAATAATAAATTTTTACCAGACTATTTCAGGTGACCAACCCAACTTAAAAAATGAGAAACTATGAGTTTTTTTCATTCTTTTAGGTCAATGAATTGATGTTCTAGCAAAAATAAAAAGTAGAAAGGCAACCTTAAAATAGAATAGTGCAGCTTCAGAGGCAACAATTATCCAGAATAATAAGGAACTATTTGCAATCAATAAATAAGAATCTTCGATGATTGAGAAACTAAGAACTGGAGATAAAGCATAGATCTTTAAAAAAACATAATTCACACACACTTATTTACATATACACCAGAGCTGCAATGCACACAATCTCCAATAAATCAACAAAGAACGTCTGGTTAGACAAGCAAGATGCCATTAACAATTTACAGTGTATATTACCATAAATTACAATAAGTGCAAAAAAATTGCTCTTTAGTCCTCAGCAAAATGTGTCTTTGCATAATAGCAGAGAATTAGCACGTCCAAGGAAAACAATAAAATTTCCATAAATTAGAGAAACCCCAAAGATTAAACTCTTCGTTGCCGATATTATTACTTTAATACCCACAATATAAAAATAAAACACGCTCACACAATTTAGAGGAATTCGTAAAATCAATACCAATATGAAAGAAACAATTCTGTAATTCCAATTCCATGCTACCAAAGGCGCTTCTAGATTATACATACATATCTAAAAGATCCAAATTTGGAAACAATAAATCAAGAAAACAAGCAAAAAATTGCACACAAACACGATTTAAAGGAATCCCTCTGCGAAACCCAGAAACTAAAACAACTGGAAGAAAACATATACATAGAAATCTTATAAATACCTTGATCTTTGATGTATTCAGCAAAGGTGTGGCAATCGGAGCATAAAGCGAGGCCTGTGAAACCCAGATTTTCACATTCTTTGGTGCTCAGATGCTGATCTGCTTGAGCGAAACAAATGAAAAATGCAAATAATAATACCAAAACCATCGTGTAGTAGCACATTCCGTTGTATTTTCTCGTCAATTCCTGTGTATTTTCAGGTAAAAAGAATATGCCAAATCGAAGTCAATATGGTTATCACTGTTCATTAAGGAGATGTAAAGTTATCTGAAATATAGGTCGAGCTGCTTATAAACTTTAGCACCATCTGAGTTAGGTCCAAATTGTAATTAATTCGTTCTGTATTTAAAATCATAGTTTATTAAATTGTAATTAAAGTTAAAGAGTCGAAGTTGATAGTTTAAGTCTTGAAAGAGTCAAAACAAAACAAAGGGAAAAAATCGTTGCTACACCATTTGTTAGACGCACGCTGGCTGCTCGAGCATCTTTTTAAGGACAATGCCTCTTGCTGTCCATGCCTCGGGCACTTCAGCAGCTGTGTAATAGTTCGACCACTACTCGAGTGTCACATGAGCAGTCGTGTTTGCATTTTTATCATATTTTTTAATCTTATTCGATTGAACTAGCTCAAGGCACATCAATTTTTCCTTCTTTATCATATCATGAATCAAATTATTTTTGTTATAACACCATGTCATATCTATACCTTATCGAGAGAGTGGTACATGAGGAACATACAAGACCACTAAGGTTCAAAATATCACAAAATTATTCAAATTCTTCACAATCATACAACATTAAGCACAAAATACAGAGTTCTAATTCAAATATATCTTAGATAAAAGACTCGAAATTTGACAGAGTCATTAGGGTTACTATCTTTATTATTATGTTAAGTACAAAAACCTAAAGAAGTACATTTGACACCACAGCCACATGCAAGGCATATATCGTTGGAGGCACATTTGGTACATCTATTCCCACATTGTAGTAGCTTTCTTGACATTGTTGTTGTACCTGCTTGAAATTTCATGGCCTCCACTTGCATCACATAAGTCTTTGGCAGTGGCAAAACTACAATAACAAAAAGAAAAGAAAAATATGTAGTTAAATTATTTTATAAAAAATGCAAACATCGTCAATTTTATCGTGTAATATTTCAACGTTGAATTGCTATTCATAAAATTTAATTTAACGTTCGAAACCCCGAGTCATATTTAAAACACGAGTGAATATTTAATAATGACGAAAGTACAACTTGAGCTAATTTTTCATGCTAAATTCAAACGTGTTGTCCGCCTAAAATTTTATGCAAAAATCAATATAGTGTCCTTTGGTTATAATGTCATCAACACAAAGTTGATAAGATTCTCGATAATATAAAGCTTAATATCTATATTGACGGGGAAAACTAGAATGTCTAAATGGATAAGAAATTCTTATTAACTTCACCTAAATTTTCAAGAATATTAAAGGGAAGAGAAACCATTTGGTACCTAATTGAAGAGAAAATTGTATCTTCAAAAAAATTAACAAAAGATATTAAAAATAGATATTATTCAAAAGTTGAAAAGTGGGGAGCATATATCAATGTGTCGTGTGGAAGTGCATTTTTTGAAGAACGTATGCTAAAAGGGTAAAGAAAAGTTTTTGAAAATTTGAAAAATGATTTATTTTTTAATGTGTAATTGAAAATGATTACGGGAAAAAGTAATTTTTAAAAAATCACTCCCCCATGAGCATCTAAATGCAGAGGAGAAAGACTAACCTAACACAGCTATCAAAAAGAGAGTAAAGAAAGCCAACTTAAGTGAAACCCTCTCCATGTTCAAGTATTGATTGGAATCTGTTGGTTCTGATGGACAATTTATAAAGGTATTATAAGTCCAATAAATTAAAACAGTCATAAATTAATTAATTAACTATGAAGAAATAAAATATAATTAAAAAAAATAAGGTTTGAGAACAATTGAAATATTTAAGGTGGGAATTAGACCACAGCAGCAAAAAATCAAACACTTCCTTTCCACTATCAGTGTCCACTCTATTTAGACTTTTTGAATGGATTTTATCGTATAAATGATCCCTCAGCCGGCAATCAAATTTTACCAATAAAAAAGAAGGTTTAATATAATTTATAAACTTTAATTAGGGGATTAGGATTGTCTTTTCCATGCTCATGACTTCTTCAAATGTTCAAAAACTATAGATTAATTAAACACGAGCAATACAATATAAATTTATAGGATGGAATCATTTTCAATTTTAGCTCTATTATTGATGAGTATCAAGGCTTTCAGAATCTACTCTACAATGCCAGAAAACTGGTGACCGATATCCTAACAGAACACTTACAGCAAGAGGAGGGTCCACTTTTTTTTTGGAAATAGTATATTCATGCGAGTCCCATGATAATGTGAGTATCTGTCATCCCTTGTGTCAAAAATTTTCTGACAGTATAACTTTTTTCATCAACTTATTCCCAATGTTTTGAAAATCGAATCGAAACAGCCAGTTCAACCGAAAAAATCGAAAACCAGCCTCAACCTCAAATCCAGTCCGATACTAATAAATTAATCAAAAATGAAAAAACGGGTAAATAATCGGTCCAACCAGCCATTTTAGTCAAAAACCAAAAAATCGGTCATAATTTTTACAGATTTTTTTCAAAATAAATAAATAAATAAAATTATAATTACTTTAATAAATGGGCTCAAGCATTAGCAAACCCAATTTTATCTTCCTTCCAATACAAGTGTTGTTTTTAAAAGAGAATAGACATGCAATATTTTCCTCAACTTCCAATGTGGGATAAGTACAAGTGTTGTTTTTAAAAGAAAAGAGACATGCAATGTTTTCCTCAACTTCCAATGTGGGGTAAGTTGTAAAATCCTTTCCAATTTATATATTTAATAATTGTTCACTTTTTTTTCTTTTTATTAAACAAATATTGGCCCCAAAACCACAAATAATTTCAATTTTAACAAAGCAAATTATTTTAGACACAACAATTGTTAGTTTTTGATGTTTTAAAATAAATTATAGGATAATAAATCATTAAATCTAATTGACAAATATTGATTTATATTTACTTTAAATTAGTAATATTACAATTTAAATTTTTTTTATTGTTATAATATTTTAGAGTTTATTGAAGTATTTATTTATTTAATTTTGATATCCGGTTTGACCCCGGGTGGACCTCGATTCAACCTTTTGACCCTTTTTCTTTTCCGGATCGATATCCGGATCGGTTTTTAAAACTTTGCTTATTACACTAATGAAATCCCCTCTCCTTTTAGAAATTAATAAATTTTTGTTCAATCAATGAATAAACTCTCCTTGTGCTGTTCTTTTTTCCCAAAGAATGATGGGAGTCGACACAGGCTCAAACCACCAAATCTTGGAACTTGTAAGCTTGCTAGAAGCAAACGAGTTGTTTATAATAGACTGTTCATGTTATTCCAAAAAAGATATAAATCTATGTTTGACCTCCGTTTCTTAAAATGCATTTTTTTATCTAATTCATTTTTAATCACACATTTCATAAACCCACAACTTTTCAATCACACATTTGATAAAATTTTATTAAACTCTAATAAAAATCTATTTTTTATCAAAACCAAACTAAGGCATAATTAGTTGTCTCGGGACAATTGCCAAATACTATAAATAAATAACTGTTTACCATTTCAAACTTGGATACATATAATTTTTTATTCCAGTTTGTTATATGATTTCAAAATTGGACAAAAAGAAGAGAAGAAAGAATAGAATTTAACTACAATCGATTGGACAAAATGAATTATTGATCATAAGCAACAGACTGAACTGCAATATCCATTACTCATTTGAAGAATCTCAATTCTCAAGTATAAAACAAACATAAAAGGACACACTGTAAATCATATACCATTTATAACTTTTTATTTGGACATGTACTGTAATAATCTTCAAAATTCAATGCTGGAACTATAATTCTGAATAATCACTTATATGAACTATAATACTACAAGAAAGAAAAATTAACTTTCGTATTATTACCGATGTGTATCCTATATAAATTACAGAAGCACGCCGCTAGTTCTTTACAAAAACAGACAAAGGACTGAGGGAATGACCATCGACCTCAGTTCTGAAGACGTGATACGTATAAACGATGTACAGAAAACACAAACTTGAAGCCATTAGTATCGGGAACTCGTGTTGTACCATCAGTTATCTATTCTCTTGAATAATAGGAGAAGAGGTGATATTATCTGTCTCACTACCAGAGGTCTTCAACTTAATATATGAACAAGCTACCTCTAACATTATATCCACTTCTTTCATATACTGCGAGGTTGGAATGTCGTTGAACTTGTTGTAGAAATTAATCGATAGAATAATTACATGGCAAAAAGGGTAAATCACAAAAGCAATACATACCTCGTTGATTGCACCAGCTTTTATTTTTGATTCCATCATGCACCATTTCTTGAAATGCGCACCTGTGAGATGAATGATCATAACAATCAAAAAGTATGCGATCAAGTAGAAGCGTTTAAAGGGATTAGAATGGGCAATGACATGCATAACTATAGTGTAAAAAGACACAAATAGAACACGAATATAATTAGGAGGATGAAGTTGATCGTAGTACACTGAAGTTGGTTATGGAAAAAAGAACAGCAGATGGAAGTAGTTCAATTAATTAAAATCCAAAGGCTTTAAACCAAAGTGAAGGGAGTTCATCCACAGATTCCAATGAGAAGGCAGACCGAAACATAAAAATATGCTTATAGAAAGAGCACCACTGATATTCACTTCTCTACATTATTCCAATGATGAATATAGTTTCTGGATAAAAACCTTAACTAAGAGGATATGTCAGTAATTCAGTAAGGTAAAATTAACACTTAATTCTTCAATTTATTCAAAGTTCTATACAAATCAAGTTCACAGTTCAAGAAAAAGAATAACAAATGATCTTGGGGAACATCTAGGCATATGCGGGCAGCATAATGGATTTTACTGGTCTAATATGGGAAGAATTTATAATTCTTATCTTTGGTATTTAGTTCTAACTGATATATCAAAAGTGAATGTCGTCATATATTGCTTGAGTTGTAATTCTTTTTATGAGTTTTGATCATTTCATTGGAGATTACAGTTTAGCTCAAGAAGTTAACGTTGTTAGCATATCGGAACCGGTTTAGAACATGTGGAAACCATTTAGTTGGGGTCCAGTTAACATAAGTTTTTAGGTTTCAAGGTAAGTAACCTGATCCTATTGCTGTTCCTGGGGCCATATTATGGTAACCAAAAGAT